AAAACTTACCATGGTGCCTATACATAGTTCATCAGAAACAGCGGTGGGTATATTAACATGCTATTTACAAGATGTTACCAGAGAATTTATTGGTGAACAACTCGTCCTTCGGTCAAAAGTTACCATGGTGTTTGTATATAATTTATCATGAAAAGTGATGGGTATATTACTATGCTATTTACACAGAAATTATTGTTGTATGTTTTCAACATCTTTTTCCCCTGGGTCAAAAAGTTACTGCACTTTTTGTACCTAAGTTATCAGGTATAGGAACCTAAGTTCATAGCAATGGCAATCATAGATTTGGTTGCTGACTATACTATGCCGAGTGATGCAAAGGCAACGATTAAGCGACATGGCTGGAAAAAGACCAAGGAGCAACTATGTGAAGCTAAATTAGGATGGGGCTTTTGACTCAGACTTACTCAAAGACTCGTATGGCGCTGTCATCAGAGACTCGAATGGCGGATTCGTCGCGGCAGGAAACGGGAAATTGATTGGTGTGAAGATGCGCTTATGATCAAGGCACTAGCCTTACAATTTGGTCTCAATTTGGCAGCCACAGTCGAGTGTAATCGCAGAGGTGAACTTCGACAATATCAAGGTGATACAGACAATGAAGAACGGAGGTCGCTCTTTCGGTTTATCAATGATAGTTTTGATGATATATATCACCTTGCGTGTGATTTCTCGCGTATTATTTTTTAGCAATGCTCCTAGAGAGACTAATTGTACTACCCTTGATTTAGCCAAATTAGCTAAAAATAAGGTATATGTGGGATGGATGGAAGATCCATCAGATTGTTGATACTCATACTAGGATGATCACCTTGCAATAAAGAATATTCCCACGTAAAAAAAATCTGTTGTCTAGAAAACACATGATACAACAAATCGCATCTTCATATTTTTCATTAAACTTTTCCATCGCTATCAATCAAGGCGGATTGCACAGACTGACTAACGGCTAGTGCAATCCTTAGAGCATCTACAATCGGAGTTGCCTAATCCAAGTCCCTATACACCCGGACAAGCTTGCGGACAGCGTCGGGCAGGTCCTTATTTGCCGTCGGCCCTCTTGTACAACCACACTGTGAAACTCATATCCATGTAAATTCATGCACGTCCAATTCAACAATTCGACCATACAAAATAAACAATAATTCAACATTTTATTACATGCCAAAAGAAATCAACAATTCATACATAAATAGACGATACACAAATGAATTAAAGACCTCAAATTTTGCGCTAGTTGGTCCTCTTCTTCATCTTCATCACCCACTTGGCTTCATCATCCAAGAGGTTAGTGTCCTGCAATATAATCCTCGGCCCATCCATCTCTCCCGCAAGCCTCAACACCTCTCTCTCTCTCTCTCTCTCTCTCTCTCAAGCCTCATTTCTCTGTCTCTCTCTCCCTCCCTCCCTCCCTCCCTCTCTCTCTCTCCCGCAAGCCTCAACCTCTC